TTGAGTTGTTCGCCGCCCTGAGTCCCTCCCGGAGAAGGGCGGCATACAAATAAACTAAATCTGAATCTGAAACTAAATCTGAATTTAATTTCTATGCTTGCCTATCTGAGTCAATGACTCTGGATAGCTTACAATTCAAGTTACCATATAGTTCATGTACAGTATATACAAGTAAATCACACAATGCTATTAAAAGTTTGTGATCTTATGGGGCCACATTACTAGCTGTCCAGGGCTGCAGGTTGGACACACCTGATCGAGATGAAAGGTGTAGCCTTTGTGGACATCAACTACTTTTGAGTTCTGGTGATGGAAAAGATTACTTCACATTCCTTGGACAGACATGTAAGAATAAATTATTCAATGCTAGATTAAATCAAGCCAGAATGCTCCCTGGAAGCATAGAATCATAGGGCTGGAAGGGATCTTGGCGGTCTTCTAGTCTAACCTCCTGCCCAAGGCAGAAGTCCTTATTCCATTTCAGAGAAATGGTTATCCAGATCTTTCTTGAAAATCTCCTCTGATAGAGCGCCCATGGTGTATGGATCATGAAACAAAGGATATCATATTCTGGGCTCATGTTTCTATAGAAAAGGTAATCAAATCGGGGAAGATGAACAGAAGGAGAAGAGACCAATAGTGTGTAAGAAAAATAGACATAGTTACAGAAATGTACCTGCAAAAATTGCTTAGTATGGTGACAGATAGGACAACCTGAAGAATTTTATCCAGCAGGAGTTGGCTATGACTCAGTGGAGCATAATAACAACAGATGCCAGCAATTAATTCTCTTTGTTATTAATTCTTGTTGAAATGCAGAAGAAAGTTTAAAAGGAATTTTATACACAGAATGTTCTGATTCATCATTGACCGAATTGAAGCTTTCTTTCTTTCTTTCTTTCTTTTCCATCAGTTGGGATGCTGTGACATTATGACTCTTATTCAGTATTATAGCTCCCTCTATTGGTGAAAAAAACCCCATGTGGTTTTAAGTTTTGTATTTATTTTATTGTTGCTAAAAAAAACCTGACATTGTCTTGGTGGTATGTTGTATCGATCAACCTTTATACATTGTGCTTGTGTGTTGGGGTATCCACAAATAGAGATACAACACCTTTTCTTCTTCCACTATTTCCGAAAGAAAAATTTAGTTGTAGCATGGTGGTTCAACATGCTGAGCTGGTTGATCAGAAAGGTCGGCAGTTTAGCGGTTCGAATCCCTAGCACCGCAGAATGGAGTGAGCTCCTGTCACTTGTCCCAGCTTCTGCCAATCTAGCAGTTTGAAAGCATGTAAAAATGCAAGTAGAAAAATAGGGACCACTTTTGGTGGGAAGGTTACAGTGTTCCATGCATCTTCAAAGTTTAGTCATGCCGGCCACATGACCACGGAGACGTCTTTGGACAGCACTGGCTCTTCAGCTTTGAAACGGAGATGAGCATTGCCCCCCTAGAGTCAGGAACAATTAGTACATATGTACAAGGGGAACCTTTACCTTTAGAGGGAAGTGATGTTTTAAAAACTATTCTTGAGTTATAGATAGTCCTCAACTTACAATTACGTTTGAAATTACAAAGGCAATGAAAAATATGACTTATGACTGTTGTTCCACACTTATGACCATTGCAAGTCCTGTGGTCACATTACCACAATTTGGAGGCTTGGTAACGGACTCATAATTATGACGGTTGCAGGGTCCCAAGGTCATGGGATCCCCTTTTGCGACCTTCTGACAAGCAAACTCAATGGGGAAGCCAGATTCACTTAACAACAGTGTTACTAACTGAACCACTGAAATGAACTGTGCAAAACAGGTTGCAAAATGGGGCAAAACTCACTTAACAACTGTCCCGCTTAGCAACAGGACTTTTGGGCTCAGTTGTGGTTGGAAGTCAAGGGCTACCTGTATAGTTTTCTCTACTTGCACTCCTCCCTCACAAATCATTGCACCTTCCCCCCACCCCGCAGATTAAGTTCGGGGAGAGAGGCAGAAAATCTCATTTGAATATGAATCGGAAAGTAGATGGGACATCATAGGCTGCATCATCACATCCTCACTCCCCTGGGCCCACATCTTTGCAATGACTTTTCAGGCATTTAAATACCCTGAGTCTGGATTGCATAATGTACTTAACCAGATCAGTTCGAAACTTCCCACTTGCGTATTTTTATTTTATTTTATGTACTAAATCAATTTATATGGCTGCCCAACTTGCAAACATGACTCCAGGCAGCTAACTATGTAGTAGAACAGTAGGGGGGGGGGGGAAATGCAGTATCAGCGAAAAATATATTAGTCCACAGGAACAAGTCAAATACTCACCCAACAGGAACAATAACATCCTCACGGCTATGTAACCTTAATGCCAACTTAATGTTTGTGGTTTGAATAAATAGAGGTATGTATTCAGGTTCGATTGATGTTTTTAACTGTTGGCTAGGAGATGTCTTGAGATTGATATAAGATGGACACTTATGTCAATGTGTCGAATAAATAAATACCTCCCAACTCTGATGTCCTGGTGATAGAACACCATGGTTGTTTGTTTGATAAAGCTTTCTGTGGCCTAACATGTTGCACAATTGGGGCCTGTTTGTTTTATGAGTTAGTGCCTCGTGTCTGCATAGAAAATAGGTTAATTTAAAGGTGGGATATATACAGGGGTGGCTTCCTGCCAGTTCTAACCTCTTCTATAGAAGAGGTTCCACAAATCTACAGTGCCGTTTAGAACCGGTTCCAGCTCCCTCCCCCCGC